TGTGGTGCTGTGTGCAGCCTGTCCCTACTGCCTCTAAAGAACCCCCCGTCTGGGAACCCAGACCCCCACCCTGACACAGCCCAGTGGGGCACACTCCCCCAGGAGGGAGGCAGGGCAGTTTGTCCTGCATCTGTGACCCAGAGGGGACATGGCAGGGTTAAACATTCAAGGGCTGGACAACACCCTGAATGCCCAAGGAGAAGCCAGGAGGACTTCCATACCAGGTACAGAGCCCACTGGGGTCCTAGGTCTTGGGTCGACACTATCTGCAAAAGCCCAAATCTGGAGATCCCACATCTGCCTGTCTTCAGGGCACCCTGGACAGAGAGTGACCCAGCACTGTGAGGACCGACCCCAAAGTGGTCTGCAGTGGGAAAGGTCAGCTGTTGAGGGCCAGGGCACACTGACACCACTTGTGGACCGTGCATCAGCATCCCCACCACCATGTGGCACCAAGGTGGGCTGTCTTGTGGGGCACACATGCCTGCACTGATGTGGCCTGGCCCCTCTCTGCTGAGTCTCTGCTGTCTACAGGGCTGCTTCCGCTCCCCCTCAGGGCACAGGTGTGCCAGTGGACAGCATGTGTGCACACGTATGCATGCCTGTATGAGAGAGGGTGAACACAGGGCTCCAGTGAGGCTGAGGAGCAGGCACAACCCCAACCCCTGCCCTGATTTGGGGGGGCTGAGTATGTACGCACATCCCCTGGATGAGATCGTCAGCAGGAGCCTGACTGCCTGACCTCAGAATGTGGGGATCTGGAGGCAGGGACCAGGCCATTCCTCCCACTCTCGGAGCCTCAATGTTGTCATCTGAAAAATGGGCCTAAAACCCCTGGCGTATGGCATGAGCCGCTGTTGGCTATTAGAGTGACCCATAGAGAGAGGAGAGCTGGCCGAGGGTGTTTACAAGGCTGCAGAATCTGCCGCCATAAAGATTTCCAGCCTTGGAAACCCTATGGGCCCCTTCCATGTTGCCTGGAGGATGGATAGAAGTCCCAATCAACTTGATGGCAATGGGATTGCTTTTGGTACTCTTTAGGAGAGCCAATGAGGGGGCTTCAGTAGGGTCACAGAAAATCTCACAGAAAGATTGGGAATTTCCCCACCATTTTACTTAAACTCCCTCATATTACCAGGTCTTTTCCCTGCAGAGCAGCAAGGGGGTTCAGCGAAACGGAGTGCTTTGGGAAGGAACACTAGGCAGCCAGAGGGGGCCAGGCTTCAAGGTCATGACCCGCAGCCTAAGAACACTTGAAGAGAGGTTGGGGAATGGCCCTGCTTCCTTCTCTACTGGAGGCTCTTTTTATTGAATCTTCTAGTTCCCCCAGTAAAATGGGGGTGGTCACTTCTACCTCCAGTGGTGGTCATGAACATGAAAGTCAAGCGGGCTTAGCACAGTGGTGGGCACATAGTAGGTGCTCAATAAGTGCTGTTGTTAGGGGCTGCCAACTGGTTAGAACGCATAGTGATCCTTCGCACAACAGGACAAAGCACTGCTTACCAGGTCCTACACCATCCTCACAATGATGTTTGAGTCCACTGTGGCTGCCACTGGATCGGGCCATCACACTGAGAGTTGATGGAGGCTTGTTTTCGCTGACCCTTCACTTTTCGAAGCATGATGTTCTTCTCCAGGGACTGGTCCCTCCTGACAATATAGTCAAAGTATATGAGATGAAGTTTCACCAGAAATCTCTCTTCTAAGAAGCACTCTGGCTGAATTTCTCCCAAGACAGATTTATTTATTCATATGGCATTGTATTGCTTATTCAATGTTCTTATCCCACACCAAAATTCAGAAGCACGGGTTTTCTTGTTCAGTGTCTACCATTCACATGCATATGAGGTTCCCATCAGGTACATTTTATCCTCAAAGTAACATCTTTGCAATACTTTTTTTTTTTTTTTTTTTTTAACATTTTTACTGTGAATTGGGAGAAAGTTTATAAGGCAGATCATCAGTTTTACATTCAACAAATCACATACTTTGTTTCATTACAATGATAATAATTCCCTCCATGTACCATCAGTTAACAATATTTCTCTCTATTCATTTTAGCTCTTTTAAAAAAAAACAAAAACACTCAGGCATATGAAATAATTTACACCACCGAAAGGCACATTCTGCAAGCCTGCCTCCTGGCTGTCAGCTCTCAGTCCCTCTCTTTCCATGAATCTAGAGTCCTCAGCTGCTCCCTCTCTCCATGTCCTCATCTCTGCTTCCTACTCTGGTGTTGCTGCTTCTCTGGATAAGGCCTCACATTCTGCTAGAGCTCTTCACACATCTTCATGGTCCTAGGGTCCTCTGTTTCTGGACTGTAAAATTAACTATTCCCCTGTTTTTGTTACAAAACTTCTACCTTTACAACTGTGACAGTTGCAATTAGTCATGATAACAATTATTCACTATTGAATCATACAAATCTTATCCCCATCTCTTTTCATCAGACCCATCTAGACAAGATGAAAACTATTCAGTGGGGACTCTTTCTTCCCCCACACACTCTTAAACTAAACTCCCACTTGAAACCTTGCATGCCTTTATCGCCCCCTCATTTTAGGTAGCCAATGTCTAAGTTGCCCGTCCCTATCTACCCTGTGTATAGAGGGGATAGCATTGATACCCCTTCTCTCTCTGTTGGTATTTAGAGCTACTACCTCCATGAGTATAGGTCAGGTTCATCTAATTGTAGCAATTTATCATTTCCTTTATCAAAAATTTTTTAACAATTTTATCTTCCTCTAGTCAAGTTCAAATTGACTATATCTGCGGAAAGAGATGATGGAAAAGCTCCATATCATCAGTGAAAACAAGGCCACGGGCCGACTGTGGAACAGACCATCAATTGCTCATATGCAAATTC